TGTGTTTGTGTGTGTTGTGTGTGGTGTGTGTGTGTGTTTGTGTGTGTTTTGTGTGTATTTGTGTGTGTTTTTGTGTGTTTGCGTGTGTTTGGTGTGTTTGTGTGTGTTTTGTGTTTTTTGCATGTGTTTGCGTTGTTTGTGTGTGTTTTTGTGTGTGTTTGCGTGTGTTTGTGTGTGTTTTTGTGTGTTTGCGTGTGTTTGTGTGTGTTTGTGTGTGTTTGTGTGTGTGTGTGTATGTGTGTACTCACTGTGCATGTATATATGTCTGTGTATACTCACCTATGTATGGTTGCATGTCACTGCTTATCTAGCAGTAAGTAGGTACCTGGGTGTTAGTCACTTTACACCAGCTGTCACTGTTCAACTGCAGTAAGTAGGTACCTGGGTGTTAGTCACTTTACACCATCTGTCACTCTTCACCTAGCAGTAAATAGGTACCTGGGTGTTAGTCACTTTTCACCAGCTGTCACTGTTCACCTAGCAGTAAGTAGGTACCTGGGTGTTAGTCACCTTACATCAGCGGTCCCTGTTCAACTAGCAGTAAGAAGGTACCTGGGTGTTAGTGGACTGGTATGGGTGGCATCCTGGGCACAAAATTAACATAAATTGTCGGAAATACTCCTCATAACAAGGGACTTTCTATACAGTAGTATGTCATTGATATTATTATTATTATTATTATTATTATTATTATTATTTTCTCAGCATATTTTTTTAAATTTACTGAACATTGAGGTAAATCCAAAGAATAATCATTAAAATTCTTCTCTTTAATTTCTATATCATTGTTTGTTTACATAGATTCACTTACATATATGAAATATTACAAATTATTTTAATTTAAAGCAATTTATTGCTGTTAAAAATTTGTGTATATGGCAAGTTAAAATTGACTTTTTATCGAAATTAATTTGCAGCGTTGCAAGTGAAATTTTTGTGCAAGGAAATCTATAAGAGAGCAGTTGAAAATTTGATCAGTAAGTGTGGGATAGCGAGCTTTGTGTCAGCTGTTAGAGGATGACACAAAAACTCTGATCATTGTCGTTCACTTGGCTCATCTGGATGATGTCATCATCTTGGATGACATAGTTAGAGAAGTATTCATCGTCGTTCATCACTACTCCTCTAAACGACAGTTCCTGAAGAGTGCTGTGCACTCCTGTCTGCTCCGCAATCATCTCCTTAGCTTCCTTCACACTGGTTACATCACCATGTTGACAGACGTGGATCTTGATGAAGCCTGATGAAGGCAGCAGCACTCTGAGGGTAATAAAAGGCTGTCCTCCTCCTCGCAGACGCAGCTGAAATTGAATAACACTTTCGTCTGTGATCCCGTAATATTCCAATGTCCTCCCATCTTTCAGATGCTTCCCTACGAAAACCAATCTAATTTGGTCTAAGGGGGTGTCAAAATAGTCTTTTACTTTCTCCCTCAAGTTGTCCACTGTGTCCCTCGGATCAACGTCAGTCCTAACCCTCCTTCCAGTAAGAGAGTTTACGATGACCTGCATCACTGACCTGAGGGAAAAATATTAATTAACAATTAAGTTATGAACTATGGAGACCGTACTGTTTACCTAGAAGTAACTAGGTACCTGGGTGTTAGTCACATTACAATTACTGTCACTGTTCACTTAGCAAGTAAGCAGGTACCTGGGTGTTAGGGGCGGGTTTGGGGGGGAAAGGGGGAACAAGATTAAGGGCACAGTGGGAATAAAAAGACAGTCCTTCATGAGCACTGACTTTTTTTGCGTTGTCCTGTTGGCTAACCCTTCCCTACCAGACTTTTTTTGGTGCAAACCCCTCCCTACCCTGGGCATCCGGGCTGTAAACTCCTACCCGGGGTCACCCTGACGGGCTAACCCCCACCGGGGCTTCACGGGCTAACCTCCCTCCCCTGGGTCATCCTCATGGCAAAACCTCCCTACCCTGGGTCATCTGACTGGCTAAACCCCCTCCCCGGGGTCTCCGAGGCTAACCCCCACCCGGGGTCACCCTGACTGGCTAACATCCCTACCCTGAGTCATCCTGAGGGCAAACACCCCCCCTACCGGGATCACCCTGACTGGTAAGACCCCCATACCCGGGGGTACCGGCGGGGCAAAACACTCCTACCCTGGGTGTCCTGACGGGCTAACACTCCCACCCTGGGTACCCTGATGGCAAACACCCCCTACCCTGGGTATCCTAAACTGGCAAAAAACCTCCCTACCCGGGGTCATCCTGCTGGCTAAACCTCCTCCCCTGGGTCTCCTGACGGGCTTACCCCCTACCCGGGGTTTCCCCCCTGACTGGGCTAACACCCCCCCCCTGAGCACCTGATGGCTACACCCCTACCTGGATATCCGACGGCTAAGACTCCATACCGGGGTCACCCTGACTGCCTAACACTCCCTACCCGGGGTTTCTCTACGGTAACCTCCCCCCCCTGGGTCTCTGAAAGGTAACCCCCCAACCCTGGGTACCCTGCCCGGGCTAAACCTCCCCCCCCGGGGGTCACCTGCTGGCTAACACCCCTCCCCGGGTTTTATTTGGGGCAAACACTCCCTCCCCTGGGTCCCCCTGACGGGAAACATCCCTACCCTGGGTAACCCTATGGCTAACACTCCCTACCTGGGTCATCCTGAGGGCTAACACTCCCTCCCCGAGTCATCCTGACGGGCTAAATTTTCCCCCCTGGGTCATTCTGATGGTACACTTTTTACCTTGGGTTTCCTAAATGGAAAACCACCCCCTACCCGAGTCATCCTGACTGGCAACATCCCTCCCTGGGTCATCCCTGAGGGGCAACACCCCTACCCTGGGTCATCTGATGGCTAACACTCCCTACCCGGGGTCATCCTTCTGGCAACACTCCCTCCCCTGGGTCCCCTCACGGCTAAATTTCCTTACCTGGGTATCCTGACTGGCAACACTCCTACCCTGGTCCCCTGGTGGCTAACACCCCCTCCCCGGGGTCTCCTGATGGCAAAACACTCCCCTACCCGGGGTCTCTGATGGCTAACACCCCAAAGGGGGGGGTCATCCTGATGGCTAACATCCCTCCCCTGGGTACCCTGACTGGCAACATCCCCCCCGGGGTCATCCTGCGGGAAACACTCCTCCCGGGTCATCCTTTTGGGGCTAACTTTTTCCCCCCCCTGGGTCCCCGATGCTAACACTCCTACCCTGGGCCATCCTGACTGGTAACCCCTCCTCCCTGGGTCACCCTTATGTACACCCCCTACCCTAGTCATCCGACGGGGTAATACTTCCTCCCCCCGGGTCTTTCTACTGGAAACACCTCTACCCGGGTCATCCTGACTGGCTACATCCCTCCCCTGGGTCTCTGATGGAAAAACCCCCCCCTTTCCCCTGGGTATTGACTGGCTAACACTCCCTACCGGTTTTCATCCTGATGCAAACACTCCCTTTCCCCTGGGTCATCCTGGCTGGCAACATCCCCTCCCCTGGGTACCTGACTGGCTAACCACCTCCCGGGAACCTGATGGTAAACTCTTACCCTGGGTCACCCTGATGGCTATCTCCTCCCTTAGTACGGCTGGTAACATCCCTACCCTGGGTCACCCGGGCGGGGCAAACACCCCTCCCCTGCGTCTTCCTGAGGGCTAACATCCTCCCTGAGTTTCCGACGGGTAACACCCCCTAACCGGGTCTCCTGACGGTAACACCCCCTCCCCGGGGTCATCCTGATGGCAACATTCCTACCCTGGGAACCGACGGCTAACACTCCCTACCCTGGATCACCCGGGCTGGCTAACACCCCCTACCGGGGTACCCTGTGGCAAAACACTCCCTACCGGGGTCATCCTGACGGGCAACACTCAACCCTGGTCACCCTGATGGCTAACACTCCCTACCCGGGGTCATCCTGAGGGCTAAACTCCCTACCTGGGTCATCCTGACTGGCTAACCTCCCTACCTGGGTCCCTGGCTGGCTAACACCCCCCCCGGTCACCCTCCCGGCTAACACTCCCTCCCCTTGGTCATCCGATGGTAACACTCCCTACCCGGGTCATCCTGATGGCTAACACCCCTACTTGGGTCATCCTGCCGGCTAACACCCCCTCCCGTGGGTCACCGGGTGGTAACACTCCCTACCCGGGGTACCTGACTGGCTAAACCCCTACCCTGGGTCCCCTGATGGCTAACACTCCCACCCTGGGCTCTTGCTGGCTAACATCATTTCCCCTGGGTCACCCTGACTGGAAAACACTCCCTCCCGGGATCCTGAGGCTAACACTATTTTCCCCTTTGGTCACCTGACGGGGCTAACACTCTCCCCCCTTTTGGTCATCCATGGCAAAATCCTACCCCTGGGTCACCCTGGCTGGCTAACACCCCCCCCTGGGTCCTCCTGAGGCAAAACATCCCTACCTGGGTCATCCGGGTGGTAACCCCCCCTCCCTGGGTCATTGGCGGGAAACACTCCTACCCTTTGGGTCATCCTGCCTGGCTAAACCCCCCCTCCCTTGTCACCCGACTGGCAACACCCCCTTCCCCCTGGGAAATCCTGCTGGCTAACACCCCTACTCGGGTCTCTGGGGGCAACACCCCTACCCTGGGTCATCTTGACGGCTAACATCACTCCCTGGGTCATCCGACTGGTAACACCCTCCGGGCATCCTGATGGAAACCTACTTACCCTTGCTCTCGACGGGCTAACACTCTTCCCCTTTGGTCCCCCTGATGGGTAACATCCCTTTCCGGGGTCTCCTGGGGTAACACCCCCTCCCCCTGGGTCATCCGAGGGCAAAACATCCTACCCGGGGTTCACCCTGATGGCTAACCTCCCTACCCGGGGCCACCTGACGGCTAACACTCCCTCCCCGGGGCATCCTGACGGGCTAACACTCCTACCGGGTCGTCCTGAGGCAACACCCCCCTACCCTGGGTCCCTGTTGGTAACACTACCCCTTGTTCTCCTGGCGGGCAAAACCCCCCCTACCCTGAGTATCCGGCTGGTAACCTCCTCCCCTGGGTCCCTGCCTGGTAACACTCCCTACCCTTTCATCCTGGCTGGCTAACCCCCCTCCCCTTAGTCACCTGGCTGGCTAACACCCCTACCCTTAGTCACCCTGGGGCTAACACTCCCCCCCCTTACTCCTGGCTGGCAACACTCCCTCCCCTTAGTCATCCTGGCTGGCTAACACCCCCCTCCCCTGGGTCATCCTGACTTGCAAACACCCCCTCCCCTGGGTCATCCTGGCGGGCAAACCTCCCTACCTTAGTCATCCTGGGGGCTAACACTCCTCCCCTGGGTCATCCTGATGGCTAAACTCCTTACCGGGGTGTCCTGACGGCTAACATCCTTCCCCTGGGTCATCCTACGGTAAACTCCTTACCCTGGTCATCCTGAGGCAACACTCCTTCCCCCGGGGTCACCCGGGGTGGCTAACACTCCTTACCCTGGGTCATCCTGATGGCTACACCCTCACCATGGGTCATCCTGACTGGCAACACTTTACCCGGGTCACCGGCTGGCTAACACCCCTTAATGGGTCCCTGACTGGTAACATCCCTACCCCGGGGTATCCTGAGGGCTAACACTCCTTCCCCTGGGTGATCCTGACGGCAAAAACCCCTTACCCTGGGTCTCCTGACTGGCTAAACTCCTACCCGGGGTCATCCTGCTGGTAACATCCTTTCCGGGTCTCCTGACTGGCAAACATTTTTTCCCTGGGTCCCTGATGGCTAACACCCCTTTCCCCCTGGGTCATCCGATGGCTAACACTCCTTCCCCTGGGTCATCCGGGCTGGCTAAACTCCTTACTCGGTCTCCTGACTGGCAAACTCTACCGGGGTCACCCCTGGGTAAATCCTTCCCTGGGTATCTGGTGGCTAACACCCCTCCCCTGGGTCATCCTGACGGGGCTAAACCCTCCCTACCGGGTTTCCCCCTACGGGCAAACCCCCCTCCCCTGGGTCTCCTACTGGTAACCCTCCTTACCGGGATCATCCTGACTGGCAACACCCTTCCCCTGGGTACCCCTGACTGGCAAACACCCCTTTCCCTGGGTCTCCTGAGGGTAACACCCTTCCCGGGGTCATCCTGAGGCAAACACTCATTCCCCTGGGTCATCTGACTGGAAACACTCCTTCCCCTGGTCATCCTGACTGGCTAACCTCCTTACCCTGGGTACCCTGACTGATAACATCCTTACCCTGGGTCATCCTGAGGGCAACACCCCTTACCCTGGGTCATCCGACGGGCTAACACCCCTTACCCTGGGTACCCTGACTGGTAAAATCCTTCCGGGTCACCCTGACTGGTATACCCCTTACCCTGGGTAAATCCTGACTGGTAACACTCCGTCCCGGGGTCTTGGCTGGCAAAACCTCCCTCCCCGGGGGTCTAATGAATGGCAAACATCTTACCCTGGGTATCCTGGTGGCTAACACCCTTTTCCCCCTGGGTCACCCTGAGGGCTAAAAAACCTTACCCTGGGTCTCCTGGGGGCTAACACTCCTACCTGGTCATCCTGCTGGCTAACACTCCCACCTGGGTCATCCGACTG